AGTAATAGTAATAGTAATAGTAATATCATGTGATCATTCACCACCCTCCCCTTGAGAGCCCCCCCCTTCCCGAATAAGTGTTGGCGAGTCTTGACGCCGCCCGGCATCTGTCTCGGGGAGCAGGCTCGTATCACCATCGTAGACTCTGTCTCTGAGAGCAAGCTCGTATCACCATGGTAGACTTGACTCGGGGCGCAAATACGGTTACACATGACATGGCGTTGCGATCAAAAGCGGTCATCTCTTCTGCAACATAGATTCTACAAACGTTCAAGTAGCTATGTCCGGCAGTCATGGCGATGGGTCGGCTTCCATCTCCAAATGTGTCTCGTAAAAACGTAGCAGGAAGCGTTTGTTTGCGAGTTGCTAGACCGCCGTCGTCAACAACTTGCGCTCTCAGGCACACTCAGGCTGGCCGACCGAGAGGGTGTCAGCGTATTCATCATTCCGGATGAGAACAGCCAATGCCATTGGAGCACTTCTGATTTCATGGGGCTTCTTTTTCCTACGAAAAAAGCCAAAAAGCTCAGAGAGCACGCCGTAGCTCCTCGACCGTCAATGATTGATGTCGCAGACTTTGTAAGCCATCCAAGTCAGCACTGCAGATCAAATGTGACAAAAGTTCTTGAGCCCAGGACAAGCGCGACTTTGCATTGGACGAGCATTTGCGCCTATGGCCAGGTTATGCCATTGCTGAGTCGGAGATCGGTTTCGCCAGGAGTGGTTTGTTTCAGCCAGATCAAGAGGACAGAAGAGCTAAAAAACCTCCGAAATACTGGGCAGACTGCAATGCGGAGCCCACCAGTGTTGTGATGTCTTATATGCTGTGGTCCATTTCTCACGATCACAGGCAAGACGCAGAGAAGCGGCATGCTTTCAAGTCCTTGAAAAGTATGCTGGTGCAGCTTTTCGCTGCCAGCTCGGGCATGTATGTGACGATGCCCCGTGCCGGGTCAATCAGCATGATAGCCGTCAAAATCGACGAGAGCGGCACGCTGCCCGGGGAGGCTTTGTTCAGTCCACGTTTTCTGGCACGCTTGGCCCCTGAATGGAATCAGTGCCGCCTGTCCCCTGGTTTCGATTTCATCACGACTCCCGTAGAAAGACCAGCGGTGTGGGAGTTCATCAGGTTTTGCTTGGACCCCGTATGCAATGTCCTGCCAATCACGGCAGAGCTGCAGCACCTGGCCCTACGACTGTTTGCGCAGTGTTCCGTGCACTTGGACGAACACATTGGCATGATGTGTCGAGGAGAGGCCTTCAAACGCCTGAAGGAAGACATGCAAGACAAAAGCCGCAAAGCTTTTCGGCGAATGAGTTTCGCCATGATGCTCAAGACAGCTCAGACGATGTGGAAGGATAGCGTTGCAAAATCGGCCACGGATGCTCGGCCGGGTGTGAGCAGCCAGCGGCTGCGGTATTGTCGGTATGTATACATGTTTTGTATGTGTGTGTTTGGGGGGGGGGTTCTTTTGATCGGGGTGTGTGTGCGCACTTGTGTTGATGCTGCTTGTTTGCTGCACGTGTTCTGTGTATCAGGACCGCGACCTGGAGGCCAGTGCAAATCCCGACGCGGCTACTGACAGCAAGGCCTTCACGGTCACGAATCAGCTTCGATTGAACGGTTTCGACAATCGCCACTCACTTCCGAGCTTCCTCAGACGTGCCACGGTGTCTAGGCTGGCAGGATAAATCCAGGTACAGTTTGATCCAGCATTTGCTCGGTGTGCAGCCACGGCTTTTGTGCATGCCAGATATCTTAGGGCGTATACTGGATGCGAGCCTCTGCGGAGCTTGCTCAGCATCACACTTTGCATGCCCGCGCCTGAAGTTTCGATTTGCTCCTCCCGAATCGTCAGACCTCCCAAGCGTTTCCCAGGTTTCCATGGACGGATCCACTATCGGGAAATCCCCAGCAGAGCTCTTCTGGATCTTTTCCCCGGACATTCAAGCGGGTGCCTATGCTCCCGTGGTGGTCTGTGCCTGAGTGTGCAGTAACATAGTAACTGGTGACTGTTCGGGACCGTGCTGCAAGCTTTGGTCCTGCTCGCGTTGCCCAGCATGTGGACTCGGCCATTTGTTCAGAGCATCTAGGCTCTTTGTCTTTGTAGCTCTGTGCAAGACAGAGCAACACAGCGTAGTTTACTAGGGTCTTGCGGGCGGCATGGGTTCCATCTGATGCCGCCCTCCGACACGACGATGACGATTGTCACCCGATCTGGCCCCAGCACAGATGTCGGTGGAGAGATGGGCGACAGCCAAACTTCTAGCCCAAGCATTTGCAGCTCCGAGCCTTTGGAGGACCAGTGGAAAATGCATGGGCTGATCTCATAATGCCGGATTGCAACCACATCAGCACGGGGGTTTTCGGGGTTTTCACAGGAGCTTGCCTCGGACAGCAGCCGGCTGGCTAGGGCCGGACGCTGTCTCCAGCTTGCTTGGTATGCTTTGCGCAAATTGCGGACGACAGCAGAACTTGAGGCGGATGTTTTTTGTGATGGAACTTGCGAGGACCCGATAGAAAGAAATTTTGCCCCCGCCCATACTGTCATGGTCTGTCACAGGTCTCTATGCTCTGCACGGCCAAACACACAAGCAGTTCCTGCAGCGGCATAGCCACTGCGGAAATGGCGTTCGCCCTGATAGAGAAGACTGTGAACGACACCCAAGCGCTGTCGCAGAGAGTCTCTTTTCACTGCCTCTCGTGCCATGATGCCCTGATGCAGGTGAGCATGCTTTGCGGTCTATTGGGTGTTCCACGACTCTCTTGCACTCTCTCTGTCGCGCTCCTCCCTTGATTTTCGTTTGTTTGTACCTGTGTAATGACGAAGTAAGTACGTACGGCTAATGCAACATGTGTGCGTCCATCTCCCCTGTGTCTGTGTGCGTGTGTCAACGTATTGCTTTTTGGTTTCATTGTTTAGTTGTTTGTTTGCATTTGTCCGGTCCGTTCTTGGTTGCACACCTAGGAGTGGGAGGGGCGATGCCGCCAGATGATAAAGGAGCATGCTGCTTGGTGCGAGCAGGTAACAGGTCGCAGAAGCATGGACTTCTGCCTCTTCGGGGACTTGAACCAGGTCGTCCCCGACGGCACCATTTGCGAAGCGGACACCTTTTCAGAGAAGGTCCACAAGATCGCGCAGGCACCACTGTGTAGCAGCCAGTACTGCCACGCCCACAACAGGAGGTGCCCGCTGTTCGGGCCTTCAACAGCGGCAGCCTGGGAGACCGCGGGGCTCCCTTGTCCGGATCACAGTCGGGCAGGCCTCCGAATGTGCGAGAACGGCAAAACAGCCGCCACCTTCGCGTGCCATGCGAAGAGACACATCGAGAAGCGCACGCCCGTGATTTTGATCGAGAATGTGCAGGACCGCCGTTGCTAAGGGGACCCGAACCGGAAGATCGGGCTGTTATATGTAATGTTTTGGCTTCGCGGTCCTGCTCAGGAGCTCCGGGTGCAGATGCTTCAGCTCCTTTATGGCTACCACTACTACCTGCATATCTTCAAGGTCAGCTGTGACGACGTGGGTCACCGAGGTGCGGCCAGAAACAGGCTGTACGTTTTCTTGCAACACAAAGAAAGGGTGCGCATGGCCTACGATATTGTGGCTGCCTACCGCGCAGTTGCGAAGACGATCCGGAAGGCTGTGCAGACCAAGCCTCATGACTATGTCTTCTCTCCATCGTATGAAATTCGGCGAGAGGGCGACGATCTGGCGTGGAAGAGATTGAGGCGAGGCTTGACAGTGCCTTGTCAGTGGAGTATATGTATTACTGCGGCGCAGTGAGCCGAATTTCAAGATAAAAGTTTGTCGCGCATCGGGTTCAATGAGAGGGTCGGTCAGCCCCGCCCAGGACCATGAGTTCGAGAGCATGGACTTCCGGCGGCTCCTGACCAAGAGAGAGAAAACCGCCGTTCAATCCTTGTGCGCTACGTACCGGCGCCTTTTCAAGAAGCAAGCCGAGTCGGACCACGACTTGATTGCCAATCTTCGAGACAATCCACACAATCGCTTGGTGTGGAGCGCGACCTCGGGCCGCATCCCAACCTTGCGAATGTCAGGCGGCTTGCTTTGGCACTTTGCCACGAGGAGATGGTTGACGGCCCGCGAACGGCTCGCGACCCTGGGCTTTCCAGTGGAACCGGGGACAGCAGCAACCATGGGAGTGCCAGAGCTTCCTGTGACCTGCACACAACGCGCAGCCGCGGTAGCGGGGAACTGTATGAACTTTTCCATGGTTGCCGTACTCCAGCTTGTAGGCTTGTGTTGCTTCGAGATGATCGACTGAGCTTACTCGAGACACCTCGGACAGTTCAGAGAACTCGAGTATAGTATGCCAGTGTGCTCGAAGTCAGTTTGTTCCTTGAACTGAGGCTGCTAGGGCTTTTCAGACCTTCATTAGGCCATGTAGTAGTAGGACCCGGGTTTCCCAGGCTCAGTCAAGCCCAAAAGTCCAAGCCTCACGTGTGCACATGTTACATAGCTCCAGAGAGTCTGTGGCACCGGGTTGCGCAGAGGATGACAAAGAGTCAGAGAGGCTCAATGGTGAGTGGCCAGAGGAGCATACGCTTGTGACCTGAAGTGCTGTTCAGGCTGCTGCTGGGTTTTGCTCATTGCGATGCTCCGCGTAAAGTCTTGCTCGATCTTCTTTCCAGCCCTCGGCGTCCTGCGAAGCCTAGTGTACTGCCTGAAGTTGTGCCATGGCTTCAGCGTCGGTGCCACCCAAGCCCGTGCCAGCAAATCCCTCGGGGCCGCCCAAGCCCCCTGCTCCGCCGAAGCCATCCGCCAGGAAGCTCGTGCAGCCTCTGGGTTACAAGGCGGAGGTCTTCCAGCCAAGCCAGCCCATGCTTGCTCCCACTGCATCCACCCCGGCATTGACGCAGCACGCCCGCAACAAAAGAATCTACCCCTATTCGACGGATGATTGATATCTGCTCGCTGGCAATTGGGGATTGTTGTCTTTAGGTTCGGCGGTTTTGGGTTTCCCCTTCCCCCCACGGAGCCCGGCACGTCAGGGGAGTACCGTCAGCACGCAGCCCACGCTGTTGAGTTGCATGATGCTGAAAGTTGCAGTTGCTTGTTCAGTCTGAGCGGAGGGACAACATGCGACGAGGCACCAAAAGATGTATCCGTATCTGTCTACATTATCTTCAAACCGTTTTTTTAATAGCGCCAAACACGAACCAACAACACCGTGTCTTGAAACGAACAAATCACCTGTGCGCTTTCACTAGATCTTCGATATGGCAAGTAAATTTAATTTGTCTTGACGTGGCCGTCTGCTGTTTGCCCGGTGTGCATTTCTAGAGATTTTAGAGCACTTGTTTCATGGATAGTTGGCAATGACTCGAAGTACTTATTCTAGGCCAAACCCACCATCAGATGCATCGCGCCTCAGGTATCCTGGAAACCACCGCAGACAGCAGCCCAACGCTCAGAGAAAAGCAGCACCCAAGAAGACAATTTCCAACACCGGCCGACGGACTGTGTGCAAAGAGTTCAAGCAGAAGTCTCTGAAGGAAGTTCCAGCGCAAGCCTGAGTCACGTCTGTGGCGCATGTGGAAGGAAGCTCCGCAATCTTCGGATTTTGTTTTTCAATTGACTACACCCAGGACTGCCACCTGCACGAGTGGATGCAAGCTTGCGACAAGACGTTCCTGGGTACTTCGCAAGCAGAGAAGAGCGGACGCGAGTTGGTGTTCGGGGCCATCGCGTTTGCTTTTGGGTGCACACCGGCCGACAAGCTTCCAGGGCCGGGCTCTTAGGCCTACGCATGCCTTCCTCGAGTAGGAGCTCCGCTCGCTTTGTCCGACCCAGGAGATTCCCGGACAAGTGCATCGAGACCTGGCAAGGAGAGTACGAACGCAGGGGTCGCCCTGCGGAAAAAACACAATGGAATTTTCAGGAGATGCACGCCTACACAAGGTGGCAGCTTTCGCATCTGCCTGCCGGCAGCCTTGACTTCGGCGGGTGGGCAAGAAGCCTTCCCGCTGCACAGGGCAACACGCCAGCTCCCCTGCCGCAGTGTGTGGTCGACTTTCTGCAGCAGCAGAAGGTACAGGCACCTGGTGGGCCCACCGCCGCGCCTGCTGGCAACAGTGGTGCAGCCCAGGAGGGTTTCGGTGACTCCGGCTACATCCTTGAAGCGGACACCAGTGACCAGGGCGAGGACATCTTTTACCTGGTGTATGTCAAGGGCAGCAATGATCGGGTGGAAGTGGAGCTGGAACGCGGCTTCACGTGGCAGATCTACGACGTCACAGAGCAGGGTGCCACGAAGCAGGCGGTGTGGCAGGGGGAGCCCCACGAACCGAAGTTCGCGAAAACGATTATGGAGACCGCGGCGCAGGAGCAGGCCGCCAAGAGCAACGTTAAAGCGGAGCCGTTTGCTGGTGCGAAGAAAGCAGGAGCTCAGCATTCATTATCTTTCCCCGGCCCTACGTAGCCGTATTTTAGATCCCACCTTCGTGCAGTTCTGGTAAGCCCGAAACCCTCAACAGATCCTTTTAGCTCTAGGACCTGGTGTTGAGCTTGGGGCCCTCGAGAACGACGGCACGCAGCAACCGCAGACGGCCCGACTGCCGGCCCGGATCTCAGAAGGTCCCAGCACCTACTGTAACGTAGGGCTGGTGCTGTATTTACTGTGTCAAGGAGACCGAGACAGATGATGATTTCGCTGATTGGGACGAAGAAGAGCAGGAGTCTGTGCCGGAACTTTCCAGTTTTGTCTTGCATGCGTTGACACGAGCTGTGTTTATTGATGCCGCGGAGGAAGTGGCGCAGCCCTTTGTCTACACTTTGAACGATTGCCAGTACCTCATCGACCCCACACAGTTGTGTTGGGCTCCTTTGCCTGGCCCCGACAAGAGAGGCGGGTGCAAGGACTGGCAGGTCACTGAGGCAAAGCAACCGGATGGCACCCCGACATTGGTGTTGGACTCCCAGTCCCAGACCAAGGGCGTGCGTGCGCGCTATGTCGACACCGTGCTTGGATCCAGCAGAGCCGTTCCCATCACAGATGCAACCATGATCACGATCATTTCTGAGTAGCTTGCCCGCATTAATTCTGAGATTAGGCCCGTGCGGTGATAGATGCATGGGGCTTGGGCGTTTGTTGTAGGTCTCGGGGGGCAGAGGGTTGAGGGGCTTGTGCACGCAGGTTTTTCTCATATATACAGATGGCACTTTCAATGTGGAACTCAAGCCCTCGTGGCTGAGGGCCCCGGCAGTGGCCTTTGAATTGTAGGTCGGCGCTGAGTTGCGAAGATTTGAGAACAGCTCGTTAGGTTTGTTGATAAAGTTTTTTTTTCTGCGTGATGCAATGCTGCTGTGGGTTGAGGTTGGGGATAACGTCGGTTCAGGGCGGTGTAGCTCAGGTCGACGAACGACCCGGCCGTGCAAGCGGCCGTTAAGCAGTGGAAGGAAAAGGAGGCCGAGGGCCATGCCAAGGACAACGGTGACTCTGACCCCAAGAAGCGCGAACCCCCGTCTGAGGAGGGGGAACCGGCCAAGCAAAAGCAACGCACCTCCGAGAGTGTGGTCCCGCCGGCAAAGACGAACGCTCTGCCCAGCACCATGCCTCCCGTGCACTCCATCGACTGAGTTCTCCACTCGGCATCGGCCATGGTTTTTGATCAAAGGACGCTGCTATGCGCTTGCTATCGTCGAAACTAACAGACTGAATAGGAGATTGCTTAGGCAGAGTTAGGTGTGCTGATAGCTGCTGTTCCGTGTGCTTGTTGAAAAGCCTCGGCGCGCGTCCAGTCCAAAGTCCGCGCGCGGCTGCTGCCACCCGTTTGGCTGGGAAATGGCGTGTATCTGGGTCTGACTGTAGGGCTCTATCAGCCACGAATAGGCGCCTATAGACGCTATTAGAGCCTATTTGGGAGGGGGGGGTCCTCAACTCCAATGGCCAGAACACAGGATTTTGGCCCCACGCCGCGCCCCTCTAAAGCCCCTGCAAACCCGGCCGGGCAGGGCCCCAGAGCCCTGCAAAGGGGTCCGTGGAAGCAGCCAGCGGAGTTGTTTTGTACCTGGAGTTTGTGTACAGGACAGTGTTTGCACGCGGCGCACAGCCGCAGGCCGTGTGAATATGTGCAGCATCGGGGAAATTTTGGTTTGTGAGTTGAATGAAAGTAGGAGATTGACTTTGCGTGGAAGTAGAAATCCCAGCGTCGGTTGAGGTTTGGGTTTGGATTTTCATAAAGGTAGGATTCCCGGCATCGGTTGAAGTTGGGTTGTGATTTGTCCTGGAAGTAGGGGTCCAGCCAACGATTGAAGTTACTAAGTCTGAACGGGTCGTAATGTGCATTGGAGCATTCAAGATTCCAGCACAGCACGGCCGCGGCGCCTGCCGCGTGCTCAAGTGAGCGCAGTTCTGTGTAGCACAGACAAAATGTGGAAGCCAATCGATGCCTGTGCTTTGCTTCGCTTCGGAGTGCGACTGTGGTGTGATGCGAGAAACCATCTTTCAGTGCGCTGAGGCAGTTCCCAAGATCGTGCAAGAGGCGTTGGAGAAGCGACCGCATGCCTCTTCATCCGATAGGCTGGGCCGAGGGCTGCTGGAGCTTCAATGGGACATGTGACATGTGTGCAGCAGCTGAAATAGTTCTGCGGCACGTGAACTGCCTCGCTGCTCTCCGCCCCGTCGTGTGTTGCTTGGGTTGTTGCATCCCCTGCCCCTCCCTGCAGGCCCCAAGCAACGAATACCTCAGAGTCTTCCTCAACTTTGCGACCTGATGTAATGAATGTTTACAGGTGTGCTGGCGACACATGGGCCGGTACACCGCAATCATTGAGAACAGAAGATTTGGCATCGACACAATGATAACGCAGCTTCATGCACCATCACGCACAGAAACGGGCTCACCCTTACGTTGTAAGCGCTGGGTGTGTCAACTGGCAGGATTATTCTAGATTCCCGCACGAAGAGCCAGAAACCCCAAGATTTGGAAGCCCTTGTAACGGCAGATTCTGAGACCTAGCGGGACTTAGCGTCATTCCCGACAATTCGAAGCCGTGAACCGACAACCACGGAGTTTGGCCAACATCAAAAAAAAAAGCTCGACATTTGATCGGCCATCACTCACTGCAAGAGATATCATCGTCAGCATCAGCTTTAGGGGACGGGTGGGGTGGGCTGGGGTGCTGTGGGTTGGGAAGGGGTGGGGCGGTGTGGGCTGGGGTCGGGGGTGGGGTCGGGGGTAGCTGAGGGTGGGCGGGTTGCTGGAGATCGTTTCGAACCTATCGCGGTTTCGTTCCTGACACGATGCAGCTTTGTTTGGGGCACGCAGAGAGCCTGCGTGATTTGCATGCCAGCGAAGGAGGTATGGAGAGACATGTGTTGGGGCGTTCATACATCCCTGCGCGTTGGAGGGACTGCCTGAACAATCTGAACATGAGCAAAAACCCCAGGCACGTCCTCATCCTGTCCAGTTACAGCTACAAAGTACCCGCTGGCACCTTTGCATTGTGGGCTGCGTTGCAGGGCAGGCTTGCTTTAGGTGTGTACACACGGAGACACAGGTACATAGACGCGCGCATGCAGAAACACCCACACACACAAAGAAAAGCAACACATGATATAACCAGCAGGCACACGTGCAGGTTTGGTCTTTTACCCCCGGCTGGTTCAGCTACCGGCCTACCTGAGACATTCTGCGAAGCGAGAACGCAAGCCTGACTCGCGCAATCAGAGGGGTGAGGCAATCTTCTTTGGGGGCCGGGGCAATGATCAGGGTGACCAGCCCCTTTGCTCCGGCCGAATGCCACGCATGCACGATGCTGTTGTGCAGGGTCGGACATGAGAACTTTTTTTTGTGACGGCTTGGACGGTTAAGCACATTCCTGCTAACGCTTGTGTGTCGGGTGCGGGTGCTGCTGTACATGTCTGCTCAGGACCAGGAACACAGATGCTTCCAGTGACGATTGTTGTGCGTTTAAGAAAGACCAGCAGCAGAGATGCGAAACGGACCTAACTGCCGCACGCGTGAGTCCCGAGGCCAACCCGATCGAAGCAGCCGAAAACCACAGGGGCCTACTACGTCGCCCGCTCAGTACCAATGTTCGACTGGGTTGCGGCTGCGAGGTTCATGGAGGTGAAGGTGAAGCCACATGAGCCTTGCATTTGTTTGGGAGAGCAGTGCGCCTGCGAGGCACACCTGAAAGCCCTCAACCATGCACTGTGGATCACTTCGCGACACACATTGGCGAGCTTCGTGCCGAAGAAAGAGGTTCTCTCGGAGTATGCGGCCGGGGCAGATCTGACGAAGGCTGCTCTTGTTGACTTGCAGGCACTTCCGCTTCTCCGCTTCGCCCCCTGCTTGCATTCAGGGGGCGCACAATAGTCCGGCCGGAACTATAAGAGATGTCACCTGTCACGGCACTGCGCAGGTTTCGGACGAGGAACGGTCCCAGAACAAGGGTTTCCTTTGTTTGCTTCAGTGCATTGGCGTTGTCGGCGTCGTAGACAACGACATTTGCCACTCGCATTGGAACTGCTTCAAGCGGAGTGTCAATCACTCCAAGATGGCTATGGTTCTGTTGAAGGCTACATTGGCCTGCCTCTCGGACCAGTTTGGCTTAGTGCAGCAATTGTTGTCCGTTGCTGAGAGTGAAAGTCGACTGATGGAGTAGAGCCAGACATGCTTGGCCGCCCCCGAGGCAACTACAACCACGGCTCTTTCTTGACTGGGGAGCATGCAGTCGACAAGCGCGAAGCTTTGAGACTGTATCCGAGGTACCAGCCAGAGAACTACCTTCACTCTTTGGCGGAAGCGATAGCCCAGGACCGAGGGATCACGCTGGATGTGGACTCAGCGCCACTCTGCCTGGATGATTTTCTGGCATCTGGCAGCATTCGCTCAAGGTGTGCCTTTGCATCTCGCCTGCTCTTTGCGCGTCCTGCCTGCTTCCATGTTGGGAATGCCATGAGGTTCCATGCTCCATCTGAGGTGAAGAGCAAAGCTTGGTTCCTGCTGAACAAGGCCCTGCGACAGCTCCTGCACGACTGGACAGTGCAGCGTGAAGGCTTGAAAGCCGTAGCTTTTTTCCAGGCCCCCGGGAACGAATGAATGTCTCTACAGGTTTGCGTTCGTCGGAAAGTCGGCGAGTCATGCAGCCAGTGTATCTTTTCTCCCTGGCGCAGGGAATGTTGAAGGAGCTTGCGGCGGGCCAGGAGCCGGCTGCGGACGACGGTGCGTGGTCTGACGAGGATAGCCCACCGGACTTTGCGAACAAGACGGAGCTCTATCAGTACTACAGTGGGCGGGGCCCCGCAGCAATGATTCTGGATTTCCATGAAGACCCCCAGCTCAGAAAGCGCATCGTCATCCTCGAACATTGCGCTCGCCCGCTAGAGCAAGCCTACTATCGAGACTTGAAACTCATGGCTGCAGGAGGCATCTCGCAGCAGATGTTTGCTGCAAGGCGAGCACTCGGCGCAGACCTGTGGATGAAAACGGCGGTGCAATGCGTGCTGACCACGCATGACTCCGCGTTGTGCGATCGACTGGGCATGACTCCTTCGACCACGCCGGCTGTTCCTGTGGACAGCGTGCAGCCGTGGCTGCAGCAAGAGGCCCTAAACCTGCAAGAGATCCATAGCCTCGCCACCAATTTGGCGGCAGAGGTTATGTGGAGCAATCTGCACTACTTTCTCGGCCTCCCACACTGCATCGCCTTGTGGTTGTTTCCAGATGAGAAGGACAGGGAAGCCGCGGCAAAGCATCTACAGACGTTGACTTCTGCCGTCCTCAAAGCAGAGAGAATGTGCCGGGAGGGGTTTGGCACGGCGCAACTTCAGGACGTTCTCAACGACCTGTCCTGGCACACTGAGCCGCTCCCGCGGATGCTGATGCGACGCTTGCTTCACACAGAGTTCGCCCCCAACGACCCCGACATCATGCTGCTGGCGCGACGCATGTATGGTGGCACGGCTTCCAGCAAGGATACTCTGGAGTCGTGCTTCAACTACCTTCGTCGCCAGATCAACTACATGAACAGCAACGACAAAGCATCCAACGAGATGAAGTACTTTGTGGCCTCCTTGAACCCCTATGGCTCTGTGAGTGGTGCGCCGAAGATTCTACCATCCGATTCCGATTGGTGGACCTGCTGGCAGTCGCCTGCAGGACAGAAGACCATGGCACGGGAGATCCCGCACTTCTATGATGCGAATGCTACCAAATTGCCGGATATCCCCGACAGGGACGCCTCGAGTCAAGCCAGGACACGAAAGTTTCCTTCCCTTTCGGAGCTGGCAACCATGACATGGAGAGCAGCCGGAGGTGCCGCGAACCAAAGGTCCGCGGCAGCTGCGGCGTACTTGATGCAGGGGGCTTCCGACTCGTGGAGGACCGTCGGTAAGTGCTGGGCAGGCAAGGGGCTGCAACGTCTGCAACATCATAGGGAACCCAGCATTCAAAACCCTTGGCTCAGGTTGCCTGTTTCAGATGGGCGAGGTCTACTTCCACCGGGAATCGGACCAGTATTACATGGCATTGGGTTTCCGGAAGTATTGCTGCCTGGCGCTGCCAATGTCCCGTGCAGACGTTGGCGATGATGGACTAGAGCCTTGACTATGTGTTGATTGTTGTAGGCGT